TCTGAGTTTTCTTCCCCCTAGGCTCAAATGCCAGAATACATTTAAACTACTACTTGAATTTAAATGCCAGAATACATTTAAACTACTACTCAAATGCCAGAATACATTTAAACTACTACTACAAAGTTTGACCCCTGTTTCTCTGCTACCTTTCTATAACCTCGTGGCATGGTGAGGATGGAAGAGAAGACAATGCCCATCTTTACTCTGGCTCCTACTTTAGCTTGTGATTGAGATGGTTAAGTAAGAACAGCGACAAGATTAAGGTATTTGCTGTTCTTCCTCTGAGTAATCGAGAGTTCTGTTTACATTAAGAATGTAGTGCTAGAAAAGGCCTAAATAGCACTATGTGCTCATAACTCATAATATACTTGTGCACCTTAAGAATCTAAAATGTTTTACTAACCCAGAGTTTAACACTAGTCCTGTTCATATTCGCTCGCACATGCTCATGCTCTCTCTCTCTCTCTCCCTCTCTCTCATCCAAGTTTAAATTCCTTACTGAAAAGACAGGAAAGGAAAAGTTTGTAGTAGATTTTCCAAACACTAACCTTGCTTTTATAATATGGTTATGGCAACCATCTCTATTTTGGTAAAGTTAGCCTATTATATGGATGACATTTTACAATTTAGATTTTTGCTATTTAGAAAAACCACAAGCCATTGAAAAGAGTTAAACTAGATATTTTATATATGCATTTAGAACTCTAAGTCGGAATTTTAGGCATTGTATAGAAGCACTGTACAGGACAGAATGAAAACATAAAGCAGACAGACCTGGCCTAATCTGGAAGGNAATAGTGGACAAAGATGGTATTTCCTCATTTAATCTCTGATTTCGAGGTAAGCAGGAAGTTGAAGCTATTCTAGGGTTGCATTTAGTAGGTACCGATTCAAGGTTATCAGAAGGGTGATAGTGGAGCCCAGAAATGCATCAGTTTTAGGTGTCTAGTTTAGACACAACAGTAACAAAGCATGTAATTAGGGAATTACATACCACCTAACAAAATAGAAATAAGAAATAGGCAAAAATAGGAGATGGTACAGCAGAGATGCTGCCAAACAACAGAAACATTGGCTTAGACACAAAGGAGGCAAGCAGGCAAGAACCACTGAAGCATGGATACTAAAGGACAAGCCAAAGTAAGTTGGCCTAAATCCAACAGGAGGCAGTAGATGAGAGATTTTTAGGAATACAAAAAATGATAAGATAGATGTGAGATAGTTGTACTCAAAATAAACTTGATTCTGAGGCAAAGAACTGCCCAACTGAAAGTCCTCTACTTTCAGTTGACTTGGCCAGCCTGGGAGAACTTTAAATCTAGTAGAGGGCCTGGAAATGGGCAGCAAGGAAATAATTATATATTGAATATCTATTATGGACATTTGATATAACATATGCTGTATTATTTAGTCTTCTATTTGTATTTATTTTCATAAGCAACTCTACAGTAAGTGGTATTGATTCCATTTTATAAGTTATATAAACTCTGATCTTTCTGCCCATGCCCAAAGTTCATGATCTTTCCATGTTACTGTATTTCTATCAGGAAAATGGTTATTTATAATCTGACTTATATTTTGTTGTATATGTCTCCATCTCCCTTGAGGATATGGTAGTATCCTCTGTGTTGTGCCCTAAATGTTGAAATGATTGCCTTTACCAAGACGCATTATTTACTGGGAAAACAATCTAGTTAGATTGAAGGCCAATGCAACTACAGCATTATCTGGAAGGCAACTGGGCAACCCAGAGTAGACACATTGGGCAGCTAAATAGTTACCTGAAGCATTGGTATTGTAGAATTGGACTCAACTAGTGTTGGTGAAAAGGCAGTGTTTTTTTGTTGAATTGATATTAGTTATAGAAAAAGCTCTGTTTAATTAAGCTTGTACAGCTTGTGTTTGGAAGGGTAGGCAAGAGGCCAGTGTTCCATGGACAGGAAGGGTAGTAAAGAAACAGTTGGTTCTGTTATGTCTTCAAGTTATTCTTGCCATTTTCAGCTCTCCCTCCCAGTCTGTTTTCTCATGTTACATAAGTGCTTAATATTGCTCTTATATTTCTAATCAAAAATGTGATTTTATTTTCTCACAGCTCCACTCTTGATTTGATAATATAAACAAAATGTTGATTGGCTTGCTTTTTTCAAA